ACCCGTTCGCAACAATGTTGCAACGGGTAATTGAGGACACACTTCACACAGGGAGGTCTGGTTGTTCGGTAGTTTCATTCGAATAAACTAAGGGAATGAAACTACCGAACAATCAGAGGAATACAATTCTTTTTCAATACACAGAAAATACAGCAGATACACGGATGCAGCTTTATACAGTATTTTTGTAGGGTCGCCTGGTGCAATCCGCTACACTGCTCCCCCTTGCCCACAAGCCGGCATACACAGTCTGATCCAACACGGATCGGCTTGGGGATGTCCGGGGAGGCTCACGGATCATTTCTCTAGGTCAGTTTGTCGAGACAACCCATCAGCATTTCCATTCTGTTTACCCGGGCGGTACTGGATATTAAAGTCAAAGGGCTGCAGCGCCAGACTCCAGCGCAGCAGCCGGGCATTGTCCCCAGCCACCCGGTTTAGCCATACTAACGGGTTGTGATCCGTGAGCAGGGAAAAAGCTTGTCCGTACAAATAGGGCTGTAATTTCTTCAGGGCCCACACCACAGCCAGGCATTCTTTCTCGATGGCGGCGTAGCTTACTTCTCGAGGTAACAGTTTCCGGCTGATGTAAGCCACGGGATGTTCTCCGCCATCGGCCCGACTTGGCTTAATACTGCTCCCAATCCAAACATAGAAGCGTCTGTGTGGACAAGAAAACGTTTAGTTGGATTGGGAGCTGCCAAGACAGGGGCATTTGTCAATGCATCTTTTAACAACTGAAATGCCTGTTCACACTCCGGGGTCCAGGTTACTTGGCGGGGTAGGTTTTTACGGGTCAAGTCGGTGAGAGGTTTGGCCAGGGCACTGTAATTCGGGACAAATTTTCCGGCCGTTCCTAAGAACGCTAACACCTGGGTCTTAGTCCTAGGGGTGGGCCATTGAGCTACAGCCTCTACTTTGGCTGGTTCCGGCTTTTGCTTGCCGCATCCTACCCGATGACCTAGGTACTGTACTTCAGCCATTCCTATGCTGCATTTGGCTGGTTTCAGCGTTAAACCAGCGGCCCTAATCCTATCTAGGACCGCTCCTATATGGGTCAGGTGTTCCTGCCAGGTATTGCTGAAAATGGCAATATCGTCGAGGTATGCGCAGGTATAATCCTGGAACCCATCTAGGAGGCGGTCCACCATCCGCTGAAAAGTAGCCGGGGCGTTTTTCATCCCAAGCGGCATGACCTTAAATTGGTACAAGCCGAATGGGGTGACAAAGGCCGACTTAGGGATGGCGTCTTGTGCCAAGGGTATTTGCCAATACCCTTTACACAAGTCAATTGTGGTGAGATAGTGCCCCCTCGCCATCCGATCCAGGAGTTCGTCTATCCTGGGCATAGGATAGGCGTCCGATACCGTCTTCTCATTTAATCTCCGGTAGTCTACACAAAACCGGTCGTGCCGTCCCGCTTTGGTACTAGGACTACCGGAGATGCCCAGGGGCTGTCAGAGGGCTCAATCACCCCCAGCTGGAGCATCTCATCTATCTCCTTGCGCATGTTCGCCCGTACCGCTTCTGGGATGCGGTACGGGGTCTGACGCATGGGAAGTTGCCCTGGGGTGTCTACTCTGTGAGTGGCCAGAGGAGTGTAACCAGGTACATTAGAGAAGATATCCTGCTTCTCCCTCAACAGCTGTTGTACCTCGCTCCGCTCCTGTGGGCTCAACCGATCCCCCAGGGTGACCTCCCCTAAGTCCCCGGATAACTGACCCTCTCCCAGCAGATCCGGGAGAGGTAAACTGTCAAACTCCTCGGAGTTAGGCGCACATATAGCGGTCACTTCCTCCGAGCGCTCCTGGTAGGGCTTCATCATGTTCACATGGAGCATGCGTCGCCCCAGTACCAACGCACGAGCCGATTATATAAGTGGTGTCACACCGTTGTTCCACCACCTTATAAGGGCCCTGCCAGGCGGCCTGCAGCTTATCGTGTCGGACAGGTTTTAAGATTAACACCTTCTGCCCGACCTGAAAGCTACGGTCCCTGGTGCCCCGATCATACCATGTGCGCTGGCGTGTCTGAGCCGCCTGCAAATTTTCGCGTACCGTCTGAGTTAAGGCCTCAAGGCGGTCTCGGAATGCCAACACATAGGGTATGATGGGGGTACCGTCAGTGCTCCGTTCTCCCTCCCAATGCTCTCTGATCAAATCTAAAGGCCCTCGTACCCTGCGGCCAAACAATAGTTCAAATGGGGAGAACCCAGTGGATTCCTGCGGCACCTCCCGGTAAGCAAAGAGGAGGCGCGGCAGGAACTTCTCCCAGTCCTTGTGGGTCTCTGCGAAGGTTCGGAGCATTTGTTTCAATGTACCGTTGAAACGTTCGCAGAGCCCATTCGTCTGGGGGTGGTAAGGGGAACTAATGACCGGCTTAATGTCACAAAACTTCCAGAGGCGCTGCGTGACTTCGGCGGTGAACTGGGTGCCCTGATCGGAGACAATCTCCCTGGGGAGTCCCACCCGGGAGAATATCTTCATCAGGGCTTCCGCTACTGTCTCAGCCTGTATATTCGTCAGGCCCACCGCCTCTGGATATCTAGTGGCATAATCTACTACGGTCAGGATAAATCTTTTACCTGACGGGCTTGCTTTGTTGAGGGGTCCTATTAGGTCCACTGCTACCCTGCTAAAGGGTTCCTCGATTATGGGGAGGGGATGTAACTTGGCCTTGCGCCGGTCCCCCCTTTTCCCCACCCTTTGACAGGTATCGCACGTGTTGCAATACCTGCGCACCTCCTGGCTAATTCCCGGCCAAAAGAAACTTTGGGTTAACCTGTATCGGGTCCTGCTGACCCCTAAATGTCCAGATAGCGGAATGTCATGGGCTATCCGCAGTAACTCCGCCCGGTACCGCTGAGGTACCACTAACTGCCTCATCACAATCGGGTCTGACCCGGATACCTGCTTATCCGTCTCCCGATATAACAGCTGTTTGTCCCAAATAAACCTTTCGCCCTCCCCCCCAGGCGTGTCTGCTGTCACCTTGTCCCTATACACCTGCAAGGTGGGATCAGTCACTACCTCAGCTGCAAATTCGCTAGGAGGGGCCCAGGGAACACAGTCAGGGGAAGGGGAAGGATCTCTTACCTGGACCTCCGGGAGTGTGTTGTAGTCCTGGGTGCAGGCCTGTTGTCGAGTGACCACAGGGTGAGCTTCTCCTGTGATGGGTGTCTGGGGCTCAAAAGCAGATGTGAGCCTCCCCAGATCGTTCCCCAATAAAACCTCCGCCGGTAACTGCGGCATCAACCCCACCTCCACATGCCCTGTCCCCGCTCCCCAATGCAAATGTACCCTTGCTGTGGGTAGCCGGTATACTGCTCCCCCGGCTACCCTGACGGCCACAGTCTTACTAAGTTTAGCTTGGTCTGAGACCAGGTGACTTTTTACCAGGGTGATGGTGGCTCCTGAGTCACGTAGCCCCTGAACTGCTTTTCCCTCCAGATACACGGTCTGCCTGTGATGCTGGCGGTTGTCTGCGTTAGCCTGGACGGGATCTGCCTCGTGCAGTACCTCCCACTGCTCTATGGTTGTGATGGGAACTGCTGAACCATACGGTGTGGCCACGATGTCCTGGTAGTGATGGGCTGCGGCGGCTCTCGGTGGTGGTGGTGGACCGGGTCGGATCCAGGTGGAACGGTCCCGCAGCTGGGGGCATTCCCTTTTATAATGTCCCCACTTCTGGCAGTGGTGGCAAGGGCCCGACGTGGCCTGGCGGAAACGTGGCTGTGTAGCGGGTGGTGGTGGTGGTGGCAGTGACCTTGGTAGAGCTGGCGTGTAGTTATTTCCCCCAAAGGTTTTAAAAGGTACTTTTGGAGCTGCAGGTTTTTGCTGCCTGCGTGCATCCAGGTACTCGTCTGCCTTCCTGGCTGCTTCGGTAAGGGAGGTAGGGTTTCTGTCTCTTACCTACTCCTGTACCTCGCTGGTTACTCCTTCATAAAATTGCTCCAGCAGTACCATTTGCAATACATCCTCCATAGACCGTGCCTCGCTCGCTTGCACCCACCCCAAGACTGCTCGTTGTAGTCTGCATGCCCACTCAGCATGTGAGTCTTTCTCCACCTTCTTTAGATCCCTGAATCTCCGCCGGTATGCTTCTGGTGTTATAGCATACCTGGCCAATATAATTTCTTTCACTTTGTGATAATTCCGAATTTCATCATTCGGTACAGTCCGGTATGCCTCAGCTGCCCTCCCAGTTAACCTTCCTGCCAAAATGGGTACCCAGTCCTCTGCGCTGATTCTATGCAGTGCACACAGTCTCTCGAAATCTTGCAGGAAAGCGTCTATATCTTCCTCTGCCTCCACATATGTTTTAAAAGCCTGGTACGGTATTTTCGGCTTACCTTCATGTGGCATATTTACTGCAGAGCTGCGTTCTGGGGCCGCTGTTTGATTCCTCAGTATAAATTCCTGGACCTCCGTTATCGTTTTGGAAATAATCTCTGTTGGAGGGTGTTCCCCATAGAAAGACAGCCGAAATTGTACCTGCCTCTGGAACTCCCTTTGTTCCGGTGTTTCTCCCGAATTCCCCTGTTCGGGAACCGAATCGCCTTCCATTCGGTACTCCGCCATCAGTTCAGTGATAAGTGCCGCTTTTGTCTTATTGCTGGCTTGTATACCCTTTGCCTCCAGAAGGTCTTTTAGCGTGGAGCGTTTTAGTGTGGCAAAATCAATCTCCATCCGTACTCCATTTAGGCTTGTTCCTCTGTGAGTCTGGATCCCACCGCTGCCACCAATGTAGCGGAGATGCAATATTACCCAGGCTATCTCCGCTTATAATCCAAGTGAGACTCAGGAACAAGTAAATAGTAAATCCAAAGGCAGGGTTTCCAGCAGGTAAAATACAGCAATATCCCAACAGCAATCCCAATAACTGGACGACACACAGTTTCAGGAGCATAACTGACAAACCTTTAATCACAGTCTCCTTATAAAGCATGCTCCCATGCAAGGGAGGGATTTACAGTAATTATTACAGTAGCCAATCCTGTCCTGGTAACCTCCCACACATCCCCTCCCCTCAGCCAGCATCATAATCCCCTTAGCCAGCACACCAATTCCCCCCATTTCTGGATGTACCCCTAAACGTAGGGGTACCTCTTTAAATCATACATCCCCTGGTAGCCCTGATCTGGGTGAACAACATATCAAAAAATCACCCAGATCAGACCAGGGGTTCGGGAAAAGTATGGAGGGAATAAAATGACCGACCGCACGAACTGCGATAGCCGAATTCGGTTCCATGTGAATGGGCCCTGCGGTCGGTCCTGGCATAAGGGAATAAAATACACGAAAACCTCTAGCTATAGAGGCTAGGGAGGGTTCGCCTGAATCCCCTTGTTCGGTATTCTCTATCTACCGAACGAGGGGCCGTTCGGTAGTTTGGAACCGAACGGACCAGGGCTGTGGAGGTCTCAGCGGTGTTCGCCTACTCGAGTGTCCGATTTTAGTTCCAGACACTCGACGGCAAAACACCGCTGTTCGGGAGTTTTAAAATGGCCACCCCCGAGAACAAAGGACGGCTACTTACTGTTCAATTACCCATTCGCAACAATGTTGCAACGGGTAATTGAGGACACACTTCACACAGGGAGGTCTGGTTGTTCGGTAGTTTCATTCGAATAAACTAAGGGAATGAAACTACCGAACAATCAGAGGAATACAATTCTTTTTCAATACACAGAAAATACAGCAGATACACGGATGCAGCTTTATACAGTATTTTTGTAGGGTCGCCTGGTGCAATCCGCTACATCATGTCTCACTCCATCCACCGTCACGTTGCACCACAGACTCTCCAGGAGTTGGCAGATGCTTTAGTCCAGGTCTGGGAGGAGATCCCTCAGGAGACCATCCGCCAACTCATCAGGAGCATGCACAGGCATTGTAGGGAGGTCATACAGGCACATGGAGGCCTCACACACTACTGAGCCTCATTTTGACTTGTTTTAAGGACATTTCATCAACGTTGGATCAGCCTATAGTGTGTTTTTCCACTTTAATTTTGTGTGTGACTCCAAATCCAGACCTCATGGGTTGAAGAATTTGATTTCCATATTTTTTATGTGATTTTGTTGTCCGCACATTCAAATATGTAAAGAACGAAGTATTTCAGAAGAATATTTAATTTTATAACATGACAGGAGGCTTCGTATTTGCTTAAGTCTCTCTTTACTAGAACTCCACAGCAGCACAGAAAAACAACCAATCAGAAAAAAGTTAGGTACTATAAAACTCCTCTCCCCATGCATCATTTCCTATTTCTTTGCTGCTCCACAGTCAGTACAGGTCAGAGTACCACTGCCTCCTGCTTCTAGTGAGTGGCTTTGGGATTTAGTATGACTTATTTAAGATTTATATTTATATATTATATGTATTATTATGTTTTATGTTTCTGGTTTTCAGTTCTATCTATTATAGTTTGCTTCAGATTATTTATCTCCTTGTTAGTTATATATTTTATATATGTTGTATTTATTATATTTCTATCATTGGAGATTGTTTTATATTTCTCATATATATTTTATGTTTGTGGTATTTAGTTTTCCATTATATTTCACTTCATATTATTATTTTATTAGTTATATATTGTATTTGGTTTTTATTTATTATTTACCTCGGGATTACTACCCGTTTTTTCACTCCTGCTTCCCCTGTTCTTGGGAATGTTTTCTTCGTGTGGCGGTTTTTGGGGGGTCCCTGGGGATTCCTGTCGGTTTGTTTAGGACGGTCTATATCACAGATCCTCAGCTTCAATGGCTATTTAAATATCACAGATTACTGTGAGTGTTATAGCAGTATGTATCACAGATTACTGTGAGTTTTAATGACAGGGTATATCTCACAGATTCTGTGTGCTTTATGGCAGTATATATCACAGATTCTGTGTGCTCTATGGCAGTATATATCACAGATTCTGTGTGCTTTATGGCAGTATATATCACAGATTCTGTGTGCTTTATGACAGTATATATCACTGATTATGTGTGCTTTAGGGCAGTATATATCACAGATTCTGTGTGCTTTATGACAGTATATATCACTGATTATGTGTGCTTTAGGGCAGTATATATCACAGATTCCTGGGAGTTTACTGGCAGTGTATTTCTCAATCTGGGAGTTTCATGTATATACGAATCTCAGTACACAGGCTCTGTACAAAGCCAAATTGCTAGTTAGTTCTAGGATGGATGTACTTCACAGTATATATTTTGTCTGGCCCAGCTATGGAGTCCCAGATAAGACTACTCTGGTATGATTCACTGTTCATGGCAGATTTTTAAAGCCAGCAAACCTGGCCCTGGCTCAAACTGATATGGGGGACCAGTCTACGCTGATATTATTCTATTTTATCAGGTTCTATGGGGAGACTCATTGTGTTGGCTATGGTTTAGCCTTACTCCTGAAAGAGACCATTGGTACAATACCCTTCAGGTGGTATGATGATCTATAATTAAGAGAAGAATTCTCAAACAGATCTGTATGTACATGTGCATACCTATTCACTGTTTAAGGAAGATATCGGTCAGTATATCTTGATTTTATGGACACTATAATCACTGGAACTACTTCGGCTTATGTCCAATACAGCTGTAATACCACTATTTTGCCTGCTGGGCATTTAAGGACCAGTTCAGGTTATTCACACCATATTACGCTGTCTAAAAAGGTTGGTGTCTAGGGATCCTAGGTCACAAGATACCTTGAGGAGTTATAGATATTTAGGGGACTCTAAGACACAATCCAGATGCTACAAGTGTTGGATTCTATCCAATGGGATACCTCTTACCATTTAGTTACCAGCGATGTTATGTCCCTATATACAATCATTCCTCACGACATAGGTATCAAAGCAGTCCAACACTTTCTAATTCAAGCAGAATTTAGGAAAGAGCAAATTGAATTAATTTTAGAAGGAATCCATCTCATCCTTACGAACAATTTCTTTTGGTTTAACAACTCCTTTTACCTACAAATCAAGGGCACGGCGATAGGCACCAAATTTGCACCCAGTTACGCCAATTTGTTTATGGCCTACTGGGAAGAACTTTTTGTTTTTTCACCTCATCCCTGGGTGTCAAATTTGGTGTCCTATCGCCGTTACATTGATGATATCTTTTTTGTCTGGAATGGAAATGTCCATGTTTTAGATATGTTTTTATCTTTTTTAAATGAAAATGAATGGGGTATCATTCTTACAACTACCCATAGCCCCACAGATATCCATTTTTTACATTTACATATTTTTATCCAGGATCAACAGATACAAACCAAAAACTTTTTTAAAACTGTTGATGCAAATGGGTACATTGAAAGTAACAGTTGCCATCACAAACCATGGCTTCATAATGTCCCAAATGGCCAATTTATGAGAATTAGACGCAACTGCACCAAAGATGAAGATTACACCGAACAAGCCACAAGAATTAAAGAACAGTTTTTAGAGAAAGGGTATCAGGAAGATAATTTAGTCACAACGATGGAAAAGACAAGAATTATACCACGGAAGGAATTACTTACATATAAACCCAAAAAGATCCCACTCAAACCTGACAATAAAGTACCGCTAATATGCAATTTTAAAGGAAACAACAACAAAAAATCAATAAAATTATAAAAAAGTATTGGTACATGCTACAGAATGATCCAGTCCTAAGAAACATTCTCCCAGCACAACCCCAAATTATATATAGAGGGGCAAAAAACAGAAAAAAATTCTTGTGAAAAGTAGTGAAAGTCCAACAAAAACAAACCATTTTTTTAGTTTAGAAAACGATTATTATGGTTGTGGGAATTGTCAGGCGTGCAAATCTACTAACAGTAAGAAAAGACACCTAACTAACCTTTGAGAATTTATGAATAAGGATTTCTCTATCAAAGATAAATTAACTTGTTTCTCTAAAGGTGTTATTTATATACTAAAATGCCCTTGTAATTTATTGTACGTTGGCAGGACTATTAGATGCCTCCACATTAGAATTTCCGAACATATACGGAACATAAAAAAGGTTTGGAGACTCATAGCGTCTCAAACCACTTTAAAACACATCATGATCAAAATCCGGACCATTTGTTTTTTTGCCCTCTCAAAATAGTTAAACATGACAGGAGAGGAGGAGATTTTTTGAAAAAAATAGGGCTGGAGGAGATTAAATTTATTTTTAATTTTAATACACTGACTTTGAAACATGTCATTTCTTTTAGGATCAGCCAATTTTATTGAAGAAGAGTTGTTATTAGAGATTTTAAAATATGTACTTTTTAGAAATATTGATCAATGGAGAAAAGTCTACTTTTCCAAAGTCACTCCCTGACAGAAGCAGAATTCCGACGAAATAAATTGCAAAAAAAAAAAAAAAGGTAGTTTCCATCATTGTTTCCGGAGGTTGCATTTGCGCACCATCCCTTTCGGTTATTAAGGATGGACACGACCCGAGGCTGTATACTATTCCATCTGCCATCGGTTTGGTTTGTTACCAGTTGATTCCATCTCAGGTGAGCGAGTCAGAGAGGTCTCATGGTCAGGCAGAGACCCACCTCTGGATCTCTGTTTTATGCTGATATTAGTAAATGGTGTACCCCTACAGTTGGTCACCCTGAGCCTCTAAAGTACTCTAGTTTGGATTACAGGAGGGTGCGGCCCTCCATCACCTCGATCCGAGAATGATTTT